TAATTGAGTTAGGAATCTTATTTCTCAAAGCAATATATCTATGTTAAGAGTTTATTTGTTCACATATATACATAGAACAAGCTTCCTCAATGTATCCTACACCTTCCATGTCAAGAGTTTATTTGTTCACATCATTCGATACCTATGTTACTTCTACTCGAGCAACATGTTGGACTAAGAGTTTTAATTGTGTGAGCTATTTGTTCACATCATTCGATACCCATTGACTGAGATACTTTTATCAATTTAAAGATAACAAAGGACTATTTTGATAAAGAAAGTACTGCATCATTAGAATGAAAATGCACTTGAGCTATCACAGTTTTGCAAACCAACATGGAAGTGAGACCAATTTACTTGTCCACCAATACACATAAAAGCTATCATGCATGGAAGTAAAAAAGGGCTGGATGAATAAGCAAAGTGCAAATCCATGAAACCTAGTTATGATGCACAGATGAGTCACTTTACAAACATGGTTTTCTACCATTAAGTAAGCAAATTTGAGTATTGTTAATGAATCCATAAATCAAAGTAAAATATAAAGTAGATAAGTATAGGATAGAACTATATTTATCTTAACATAGATTATGTATACAACTTCCCAAAAATTTGCACACACAATGCCATGTACTCAAGAGTGAGAGGGAAAACTGTGGAAACTATTTGGCAAATCAAGCACAATTATGAAAGGCATAACTTGTATAAAATCAAAAGAGAATAATTAATTAACAGAATTTTTTAAGCTTATGAAATGCATTATACAACTAGGGTTCCTTTGAGTTAGTAGCTAGTGATATTTCGAACTGCCTTCTTTTCCTTCTTACTTTTTACTTGGGACATCAGAAATGGGCATGAAGGGAGATGAACGAGGAAGAAAAGAAAAGTATAAAACCATGCCACATCAGACAAAGTAATGCAGAAGCACCTTCAACGAGTTTATAGATTTCAGATCGTTCTTTCCCAAACTTCAAATTAACCGAAAACTCTCAATATCTCTTAAGTAAACTGTAAACCCACATGAGTTGGATCAGAAGAGATCCATTATTTGAAAATAACTTCCACAAGATTTGCACAACATAAACAAACTCTGCTTCAATTGCTATTAGACTTGAGTAAATCTAATCAGTAGCATATTTTACAATAAACAAATGCACAATATAACATTCTGAGAAACACACATCCGGAGTTAAAATGAAATGTTAACCTTGCACCAAAAAAAAAAAAAACTCATAGTACATATAACATTAGAAAATTTGTAGAACTTTTGCACCATGAAATTCTATTTTGTCCCATAATTTCAGAGATTAAAGAATTTGTCACATTGTACCTCTAGTGAGAAAAATGAACTATATGCAGGGAAACATTTCAAATGCACATACCTAATATTTGTATGCAACAACCCCACATAAATCATACCAACCCACAATAATCATCTCCGCACTACAAATATGGCTGCGAAAAAAAGGTAAAATACAAGTGTTCGAATTTACCTCATTCCAGCGACTCCTTGCTCGAACTTCATGCTAAGACTTCTGAAATCAAATGACTGCTGCTTATTCACGCTTGGGTTGAGCTCTTCGAGTGGTCAACAATGACGAGTAGTTTAAAGGGAATTTAGAGGCAGTTTAAAGATGATGGAGGTGGAAGAAGGAAGCCAAGAAATTTCAAAATATGTAGAAGGGTTTTACAGTGGTGAAATTAGGGGGAAACGGTGAATTTTGAGTTAATAGGTGAAGAGTAATTTTGTCATTTTACTATTTTATTACTTCTTCTTCTTCTTTTTTTTATTAAACATGGGTCAACGGCCTTTTGTCCAAATTTATTGTTGAACCCGGCTATCTGGCCAAATTTCCCATGAAACAAACATCCGTAAAAACAAAAATGTCATACCGACAAACATGCAACAAGTGTGAGGTAATAATTCAAGACGACGACATTAATCACACACCTCATACCATTTGCTTTTCTTTAGCTGGGGAATATTGAAGTTGGAGTACCCACGAACCTTCCAATTAATTGACTATAAATTCACAACTCCAGAAGCAGAAACCCACAACAAATCTGTGATTTCGAAATCTCTTCTCCCCCCTTCTGCGTTTTTCTCAGGAATAAAATTTTCCCGCCGACATTGAGGAATCATCGCCCACACAAAGACGCTGGAGATTCTGTTGAGTTTGGATACTCTTTCTACAGTTTAATTGGTAAAAAATGTGTTTCTGCTCTTCTTCTCTCTTACTTACTCTCTACCTACGATTGCATAACCTAATTTTTGGTCTGTTTTCTTTTTTAATTTATTATTGTTGGGGTTTCCATAATTTCTCCCCCGGGTTTTATTGCCTAACTTCTGAATCTTGTTCGTTTTGATAAAAAAATTGCACCTTTTTTTTTCATTTCATTTCATTACTTTGAAGGGGTAAAATCGCACTCTCTCCTCCTCACACTCGAGATCACGCACACGTAAAGTTGATCCCTGATTAAATAGTTGAGTTGGTTGGTCTGTTAATTTCAGAGGAGGAAAAGGATAGAGACTTCATCGAATGGAATACAGAGCTTATAATTTAACGGATATTCATGGGAGCCTATTATTTTCATTTGATTTCTAACTTTTGGCATTTATATGCAATTTAGATATAGTGTAAAAGTACAATGATTGAAGCCCCTAGTTCACGCAGCCAGTTTGGTCTATCGTTTTCTTACATTTTGAACAATTTTGATTTGTGTACTACTAATCAATGACTGCTGCAGTTAATTTTACGTCTCGTTTTCTTGCTTCTTTTCCCCCTTTTGTACTGTTTTGGTTTGAAGGGGTGGGTCTGTTTCTTCTTTGGGTGTGGGTGTGGAAGGAGGGTTTCTTTCGTCTATTTAATCTTCTTTACGGGTGTTGTGATAATATATTGGTTGCTGTTCAATGAATCTAACAGTTAAAAGAGATAAGGTAATAGGTGGTTCTGTCTCTTTAAAGAGTTTAATTCCTTTTGGCCAAAACTTAATATTATTGTTTCCTTTGTTTTTCTCACCTTAACGAAGTACTTCGTTTGGTTGTATCGGATAAATCAAAGATACATTTTGTTTTTTGTTCCTTTTTTAATAAAAGTCTCTAAGATTCTCGAAAATTATGTAGAAAGCTTCTTTTACACGTCCTTTACTTTTTCTTCATGTTGGTTGGAAGGTTTCTTTCTCAAATATGATTGTGTTATGATTTTTTAATTCCTCCATAATTGAAAATTTGTTTGCAGTGCTGTAGACTTGACTTGGGGATATAAATGGAGAACAAAATTGAATCTTATGCTCGCAGTTCAGTTGGGAGTTTGGTTAACCACATGCGAAGATTATTGTTTCGTGTTCTGTCGACAGGTCCAATTCCAAACCACATTGCCTTTATTTTAGATGGAAATCGAAGGTATGCTAAGAAGCAAAACCTCGGAGAGGGGATGGGTCACAGAGCCGGCTTTGTGACTCTCATGTCTCTGATGAAGTACTGCTATGAATTGGGTGTGAAATACGTAACTGTATATGCTTTCAGCATCGATAACTTCAAAAGACGGCCTGAGGAAGTTCAGTCTTTGATGGATTTAATGCTGGAGAAAATTGAAGGATTGCTCAAGGAAGAAAGTATCGTGAATCAGTATGGAGTGAGGGTTTATTTTGTAGGGAACTTGAAACTTTTGAACGCTCCTGTTCGGGATGCAGCTGAAAAGGTGATGAAAGCTACAGCAAACAACAACAAGAGCATTCTTCTGATTTGTGTTGCCTATACTTCAACTGATGAAATTACGCATGCTGCCCAAGAAGCTATCGATGAGAAGTGGGGTGAAATCCAAGAGTCAAGTAAAGCAAGTATTGCCCAAAATGGTGAAATAAGTCAAGAAAAGCACGAGGGAAATCGTACAATAAAGGTAGCAGATATTGAGAGGCACATATATATGGGAGTAGCTCCGGATCCTGATATTTTGGTTCGAACGTCAGGCGAGACTCGTCTTAGCAATTTTCTCCTTTGGCAGACTTCAACCTGCCTTTTGTATTCCCCCAAGGCTCTATGGCCGGAGATTGGTTTACGACACTTAGTATGGGCTGTATTGAACTTTCAAAGAGTTCATCCGTACTTAGAGAAGAGACGGAAGCAGGTATAATATTTTTTCTGTGGTAATTTACAAGGATGCAGGGAAATATTAATGAAAATTACTGGGAAAATGAGCACGTGTGTTAAATACTTGAGCCTATCTATCCTCCTTTACCTCCATTTTCCTATTGACATGAGACTCGAAACTGGCATAGGCTTGTTATGTTAGTGTCTCTGAAGATTCAATGTAGTATACTAAATTATGTTTTTTCGTTTCCTCCTTATGTACTTTGATGCTAGCAATTCCATGTTTAATAAACAGGGAAAAGTTACACGTTTTGTGACTTGTTGAAATACAAATGCTTAGGAGTACATTATTTTGATGATTCCGAATACACATTCTTTGTACCCAATATATTGGGTTTGTATCCTGCTGCATTTCCTATGTGATTTGCAGTAATGTACAAATGATTGGGGGTTTTTTTTTTTGCCTTGTTCAACTCTGAACAGGTGCTTCCTTGTTTTAACCACTTTTTGGCACCTTTCAGTCCTAATTCGATTACACAATTTAAAATTTAATTTTTATGATTCTAGTGAAGAGATGCAACTCTTGGAATGTGGTGTTATTACAATCTATAAATAGACAGGTTGTTTCTTATTAAAACTTACAATATACTCCTCTATTTTTTTCTTCTTGTTGCATTAGACGTCTTGCTTTTCTTTCTTCACTTGTAAACTTGCTTTGTATCCGGTATACGGCAGAATTGAATTACAAAGACTCGTACGTATTTAAATATATCTTTGTTGTTGGGTTTGTTGTCGTTAGTACACAAACTTCGATAAGTACTACATTGATTCTCTTATACACCGGAGGTAAATTTGGTTCCTTTGTGCATTCTTTTAATGATGGACTACAATTGTTTGACGAAGAGCGTGGACGCACGACTTGGAATCTACTGCAGGTTATAGTTAACGTTTGGAGAGTTATTGCATGGCGTTCCTTATCAACAATCTTAAGACAATATTCTGAAGTAAGTTGCAATATCTCTACCTATGTCGTGACTACAGGATTTTGCAGTTGAAGAGGTTCGAAGGGGCAAATTTTTGGTGTTGACAGGATAAGCTTTATTCCCTTCACCACCCTCAATGTTGGTATATGTGCTCACACATCAAAGACCGGAGGAGAAGGAAGGCACACATTTGGCAAATACAAAGGGCCAAGCAAAAATGGGATCAAGATGACATTTGCAAATGCCACATCTCTAATGCTATGTCCGATGCACTCTTTGATTAGTACCATGGCAAGAAGATCACTATTGGCAAAAAAACCCGATACCCGTGGAGCCCTATCGGGATTATCCGCTTAATCGGGTATATGGGGCAGGGACGGGTAACAGGTGCCCCGCCCCGTTTAATTTTTGTTTTTTGGGAATTCAATACTTTAATTGAAAAATTTCACTAGTTCTAATTGAAAGTGGCAACTAAAATTATCTAAAAAATATGATAAACAATAAAAGCATTAGTTTATCAAATATATTATTAATTTAATGAATGTGGACAATAAAATGAATTATCAAAAACTTTTAAAAAAAAGAAAAAATCAAACGGGGTAGTAAATGGGCTCGCCCTCTCGCCCGCCTTGCTTTAAACGGGTAACGGAGCGGGGAATTGTTTGGCGGGGCGGGGGGTGGAGGAGGTTGCCGATCCTGTCCCGTCCCCATCCCTAATCACAAACAATAAGTTTTTTAGACTCATCAATATAGGATGATTAATAGTAGAAAAGGCAATGGAGCAATTTCATGAAATATTTCATATTTGTAACTAATTTCAACAATATAAGATGAGTATGGACGATTGATCTGTTATGAATCTTAAGCACATGACGGATGATATGATATAATATCCATTGAGGATTTGGGCTGGCATCTTCGAATAGAGGAGGAATTCAAAATGAATAATTCTAAGGAATATAGTGGCCAATCTTCTAGAATGCAGATGTCGTGGAGGATGAGAAAGAGAAAAAGGGACAACTCATAATGGAAAGTTGCTATTTTGAAGAAGAAAAGCAAGATGACAAAATTCATTTTGTGACTTGTATGGTTTCATAATTTTGTTTTGAATAATTTTCATTTGTCATGTCTTGGTAAGGAGTGTTTGTCGAGGAAAGATGGAAGTATGAAATTACATTAAAATAAAATACATTATTTGTATGGTTTTATTCAAGTTTTTGCTCTCGTTATGCACGATCTTATGTTTATTTCATTATTGTTCTATAATGTTTCATGATTTTCAACATAGGTTTTCTAACATAATTGTTAGATTTTATCTTTTCCACAAGATTTAAGTTGGAAAATTGGTAGTAATTCAAAGAATGATTAATTGATTATTCAAGCGATGAGATTACCAATTGATCAATGAAGTGTAATGACTGTGACAGATTGAAGCTTAGTATAGGTCTTGATTCATCTAATGTATGGGGATTGAGACAAGTCCATAATGATGAAAACTCGACCTACCATTGAAACATCAGGACAAGCTACCTAATTTTTAGTACACTATACATAGAGTACTTTAGTTACTATGTATTCTTGATAATTCTACCTATATGATTATCGGTGATGGTGCCATCTCCAAACTAATTTGGCTAGCTACTTAAGATACTCAAGAAATAAACCAAGATATTCAACTCGTGATTTATTCATATGTTGGTTTATCAACACTAAAAGATTTTTAAGTTTTGAGGTATTTATACTAAGTGGATTTTTAAGTCCAAAAGATACATTCATATATTAGCAAACTTCGTGATCTTATAGGAGAGATTTTTCAAAAATCATTTTTTGAAAACGGTGAGAGATTGTTCAAAGGGTAGAGTTGAGGTGCGGTGGTTGTTATGGTTGGCAGAGTTTGGCTGGTCGAGGAAGCCGCAACAAACGCAAACATGAGCGTTTAATTCAGAATAGGTACCTGCTCGTGGTTTAACCACTTTTTGCGCCCCCCCATGTGCTAATTGGTCAAATTATATGGAGCTTGTAATACAATTTTGCTTACACCTTTTTTTTACAGAATACTAACATGATAAGGCACTTTTACACGTTTTGGAGTACTTTCATATTACACTATGAAGGTAAAGGTCTGTCATGTCATCATTTGTAAATCTTTCTATATTTGCTATATGGACAAACAATTGTATTCTAAAATTGAAATGTTGTGACTTGTGAAGAGATGCAAGTCTTGGAATATAATATTACTACAATCTATAAATAAATTGATTGTTTCTAAAGAAAACATACAATATTCTCCTCGATTTTCTTCTTCTTGTTGCATTAGAAGTTATTGCTTTTCTTTCTTCACTTGTAAACCATGTATCGAATACTGCAGAACCAAATTACAAAGACTCTCGTATATACAAATATATATTTGGTGTTAATTTTCTCTTCGTTAAGCATTAAATTGATTTCATTGTATCCTAAAGACAAATTTGTTTTTCGGTGAGGGACAAATATTTTCTTAAGGAGAGCAATCATGGAATTTGAAATCTACTGCAAGTTATAGTTCGTATTTGCCGAATGTAATGATGAAAACAGTGTGTATAAATAGCATTATTCATTAAACAAACAAGGAAATCCTAATTCGTTGCCAACTATTGAATCAAATGAAAGATATTGTAAGAAAAACGACGTTTATTATTGTATTCTTTAGATGAAATGAAGACTAAATTCATGTAATAGGAAAAACTCGTGCTTGCTCCATCCTTACTACTACAACAAATACAACATCTACACCTACTCTACAACATCTACACCTACTCGCTTAATGAAAGCAATATTTCTTTATCCACTAAACAGAGCAAGTGTAGCCAAACTTCTTGATGCTTTAGCTTGGACGAACTTCGCCAAAATAAGATGTCTTTGAGTAGGGTAAAGTTCACAAGATATAATTCGCTCTCACTTTGAAAGTATCTTTCAAATTTGTCGAAGACTGGATCTGCTTGGCGCAGATAGAGGATGTAACGAAGAAGGCTACAATGATTAATGAAATGCAGCAAACCTTTACTGCTTCCGCTTTATTCCGGCAGATGTTACTATGCTCTGTGGCATGTTTGATAAGAAGGGCAGGACAGCATCTAACAGTATCAAGATAGAAAAGAAAACTGTCGAAGTCCTATTCACTGCTGAGTACCAAAACACACCTTCAATGGCTACCTGGAAAAGAAAAAGAAACGTGAAAACAGAAAGTCCCAGCATTCCAGAGCCGAGTATCCAAGATTAGAGTAAACATAATTTCTGATACGATACAGCAGCAAGTAAAAGAGAATTTGATTTCCAGAAATTAAGTTTTACACCATTTACATCACACAATTTCAGGGAGAAAAGAACGAAAAATGGATATAAATAAAAGAGATGTCTCAAAGAAAGAATCTCTACAGTAATTTTTTAAATCTTCTCTTTACCTGATTCTTTCATTCCTTTTTTCTGCTTAGAAACTAAATAAAACACAGGTCTCAAGTTAAACACTACATTGTTACATGAAAGAATAAATTAGGGCTGCACCTTCTCCAATCTCTCTCAATAATCTTACCAGATATCACATGAAATTCCCAGAAGAATGCAGCAGAGTATACAGCACAAGGAAACTGAAGTGGTACCGAGTTATGTGGATGTAGCTGCACGCGGAGCTAAAGTTTTTGCCGGGATAATGACTCCACCTCCTCTCATGGATAAAGTTGGGCCCCTCAACGAGCTCGCTCGACTGACGAGATCTGAGTCTAGAAATACAACGATCACCGTGATGTCATCATGAAAATGCCGCCGGACTCCACGATCGATCTTCTTCAAATCAGAATATCTCATTTCTCTTTTCTTTGCTGCTTCCTGCAATGCAGCTTTGACTAGCCTCCTAGCACTTCCCTGCATGACAGAAGTCAATCTCTCTTCAACTCTTGCCATCGATTTGAAGCATAAAAAGTTCTAAGTTTTCCCTTTTTTCTTTCAATTTCATGGGAGTGGGGTCTAATAACCACAACAAACTAAGCTTTATTCCTAGTAAATTTGGGATCTAAAGTCCAAAAGCTTAGTAGATAGACCTATTTATTTAGTTACAAGTTATGATCAGCAGATCTTACATGGTGGGGTTGATTTTGTACTATGTCAACCGCCTCCTGATTGCTGAGGTGTTCCCAAAGACCATCAGAAGCAAATATGAGAAACTTGTCATGTGGTTGAAGTTCAAGGACTGAAATTGATGGTTCAGAGCTTAATATGGGCCTTATAATAGGTTCACGGAGACGAAACTTGGAAAATAAAGGTTCCCTGTTGAATTCGGCCTTCTTTAGATATACGTCACCAATAGATCGAGAAACCTGCAAGATGAATTTTGATCATTAAAAGGGACATTTTTAAGGTAAAATGAAATATCGCCATTCAAAAAGATAATAATAACAAATAAACATTTATAATGAATTTAAATACCTTGACTGAATAAAGTAGAATGTGAAAACTCTACGGAAAGGTGGTGGTTTAATTCGATGCTGTTTAAGGAGGAGTTAGAACGCAGGTATGGAATAAATAAATCAATGAACAATCTTGGTCCTATTGAAAATATTACTAAAAGTGAAGATCCGTGAAAATAGAAAGCGGTGAACGAAACATCATGTAGTGAAAAGATTCCATTCGTCTATCATCTGTTAGTAATCTTAAATCTGGACGGAAGCTCACTGATTAATACATTGAAAATCTAACCCATGTGTTCTCTTTATATCTGAAAAAATTTGATTAGCATAAACAGAAAATAAAATAATTTTCAGTATTCTTCTTTTTTTGGATAAATCCAAATACGTGGAATAGAAAAACTTGGGGTTGAGAAGGCCTGTACACAAGCTAAACAAGGGGCCTCACAATTACACGAGGACTTCCAAAAGTCTATACAAATAGGAATGAGATGTTTATTCCAAAAGAACAGAAAGAAACAGTTTTTCCACTCAACTCAGTGAACAGGTGAAGAACCAGCCCCTGCTGTTTCTGATCCCAATGCCTCCCCATTCCAACATACCAAATTCTGGAGAACATTTGCAGGCACAACCCATTGCAACTTCAACAAATGGGAAGAGTCTTCCACAAATTTGCGGCCACATCACAATGCAAATCGAGGTGATTCACATTCTCATTAAACACAGATGCACAGCTTGTAGGTCGCAACTCTGCATGGCCCTTTAAATATTTCATTACATTTCAATTCTTAACAGAAAGCACCTGAACAATATTGGCTACCTAGTGTGTGGAAATTCTACTTTTAAAATAGCATCTGCACAGCAGCCACGCTTCCAATAACTTATCCTAGTCTCTTCCACTCCAAAATCCATATTCTCCTCAAAGTATTCATTGTTGCTGTCCATGATTCAACCCATTAAGGTTTCAGTGTTCCAACAGCCCCATTGACACCCATCCTTGTCCCTTACAACAGTTGTTCATAGCACTCAGCTCCCTAGCAAATCTCCAGCACTTATCAAAGATAAGTCTATCTAACAGCATTTGATTTCTTATCCCCGACCATCCACATCTGACAGGCTTCTAAGACTATCTCAGACCACTAAGGGATATTTATTTCTCATCCTCTTGCCTCCCCTACACCACCAAAAAAATAAACCCTTTTATAGCTGTTTCATCCTCTTATCAACTACGGCAGGGATTGTGAGCAGGGCCATAAAACATGGGTATATTGCATAATGTACACATAGGTAATGTTAACTGCAACTGTAAGAAAATAGCTCCTCTTTGAACCAACTCTCTCAGAACTTACGATCAAAGAAATGACCACTAAACACGAAAGAGAATTGACAAAATAAGCAGCAAATTAATTAAACTTGGATAGCTTGAACTTTACTCCCAGCAATAAAGCCTAATTGCCTTGAAAACTCTTTTAATTTGATAGGCTCATTTTGCACGAATAATCTAACAGGAACTATATCACTCTTTTGGTTTGCATTCTAATCACATCTCCGTCATCCCCCAAGATGAACATAAAATTACGAAAACCCAACACTTCTGCAAGCAGACTCATTAGATTTTATTTTTGCCTTGTTTCTAAGATGTTATTTGATTCACCATCTTACCATTCTAAACATCCACCCAAGTTGAACATGTCTTATTCCATGGGCCAAAGGTAATTATATCATGCCAATATGTGGAATCAAATCTCCTTTACACTGAGAGCAAAGGTAAGAGTGGCCAGTGGATTCCCTGGTGGAAGAAATGCGCGCTCTTTTTCTCAATTTAGAAATTAAATGTAGAAGATATAACAACCCTAACAAAAGCGACGACCAATATAAAACCTAGAAAAGCAAGAAAGAAGAGGATGAACATTTCAAGAATGAGGCATATAATCAACAAATGACATTAAACTCATTCTGGCACCACTCAACCACGTTGAGCACTTCTCAGCTGCAGCATTAGATTGAAGACTTAAGGATTGCAAAATACACAATCAAACAACGGAACATTAGATTGAAGATTTTAAGGACTGCATAATACACAATTTAAGGATTTAGGTGACAGCTGAAACTAATGACTGCAAACAGAGCAACAAGAATTGTAGAACTTTTTATCAGTCAACCAATATATGCTTTAATCTAGTAGGATTATCGCATTCTGAATTTGTGGTCTTGACAAGAGATAAAAACAAAGATAGTCAAGATCATGATTTAAGTAGGCAACTCTCTTCCATTGAAATATAATCAACTATGTATTTGAACCCCATTCCTACTATGCAAAGAACTGACCTGTATCAAGCCCTTCACACGCCACACATTATGCTTAAGAACTACTATCTGTGAGTCGTCTGGGTGCATAGAACGCAACTCCTGTCTGACTGACTCTATGCTCGCGTTATGTTCAGCTGACAGCTGGATGGCAAGAACTTCACCAGTTGCTCTGACAACTCTTCCCAACACTGCTCGGGAATCACCAAGGTTAGCAATGTAAAGGATACCGTTACAAATCACACCCACCAGGCAACAGGAACCAACAGCAGCCAGTTGTGGTTTCATCGGCCATTCTTTAGCAACCACAGATATAAATCCCTCTTCTGTTGCCTGAAATGCATTCCGTATTACATCTACTGACATGGAGTTCTGCTCAGCAGTGAACCCTGCAACAAACCAGTTTTAGCAGAATTATTTATGAAACAGCTCTCTGGAAAAAATAGTAGTTCTCATAATAGAGACAAAAGCCAAGAAAAATCAACAAAAACCTATTAACATCCCTAAAAGTTTTCTTCCACTAATTTATAAATGCTGTTCACCTACTCTTCAAGTTCTGAAAGAGATGATCGTTGATGTAGCGTGATGTCTCAGGCCCGCCATGACCATCATAGACTCCCACAAAAGTTCCATATGGGCAAGAATCGAGCAAGCTCAGGGAACCCGACTCAATCTGACTTTGATCTTCAAGCAAGTTGTTGGCTTGCACAACAGCCATGGAGAAGTCGCCAGTTAAGTGCTGTCCAGAATCTTTATACCAAAGTAAACCATCTTGCCGGCCAGTTGTATCAGAACCAGAGTGCACATGACGGTCCGATGAACGCCACCAGCATTTCTGCAGAAAATTTATCAATCTTGATAACATCCCTCATTTCACCCCTATGTACCACCTATTCCTCAACATCCAAAATGGATGCAAACGGCACTCTTGCTAAAACCCTCCAAGTCCCCAATCACCAGTCTTTCCTACAAATAAAAAAGATAACTATAAAAAGTTAAATTAAGCACAATACAACACAGATCACAGGCTCATAGAAACAACTAAAAATGATAGCTTTATATCAGAGTTCGCACCAGTAATTAGAAAAGAGGTCTGAAGTTTAAAACCTATCCTCAGTTGTACATAGAGAAGAAAAGTAAGTACCACCCACGTCCCAAAATTTTAACATTTGTAGACATCAGGAACAGCAGAAAAAAGTGTCAAAGAGGGAAAGTGGAATCCGCCCATTAGCATCTACAGTACAAAAAGTCTTTCTTCTGCAACACAGAATTCACACTAAAAAAATAAAAATAAAAATAAAAAACCCACAAAAAGATAAAACGGCCTCATTCGATTTTCCAGTAGAAATTGAAGGAGATACTCACAATACTTTTAAGGCCTTGTTGTGCTCAGTATCTGGTCACTTACTGAATCATACCAAATGACAAAGACTGAGATCTGAAATAAACGTAGCAACCCATGTGTTGTCAATATAGTTAGATCTATAGATCCATCAAATCACCATCCAATACATATAAATACAAAAATATGTACCTATAACTATACTATAACATGCACAAATAAACACTGCTCTTTTGTGGATTTCTTTTCACTTTTTTCCTTTCTTTCTTTCTCTATTTCTTGATTGATGAAAAATGAAGAGAGATAGAGAGAGATAGAGAGGGAACTGGGAAGATGATGGGTGATGACGAGGGTGACGATGATAGGATAGTTACTTTTTTAATGTAGCTCCGAAAAAACCCTTTGTTGATTCTCTCTCTCTCACTCTCTGTACAACGTTCCTTGTTGAAGTAACAAAACAGGTGATTTGTCCCCACCCCAGCATCCTAGGCCATATCCCTACTGGCTACTTCAATACAAGAAATGAAGAAAATGATTATTTTGTTTTAAAATGGTGATTGAATTTTGCGATTTTTTAATTTATATTTTTCTCAGTTAAATATTGTAACGAAATATCATATATGGAAGACTTTCAAGTTTGTTTAGTATTGAGTATTTTGTTAACGTAGAGATGGAAAATTTAAATGGAATCGAATCATAATTGTCGATTCTGGAGTAGTTCCATAAAAAAAATATGGTTCTGACATCGATTCTCGATTTTTGGATTCAGAATCAGATGCTCAAATTGGGGCCGACTAACCCTTTTTCAATTTTTTGACAGCCCCATTTTTTTGAAAGATTTTTTCCACTCGGCCCTGCCCTCATCATTAACGCGAGGATCAAAGAAAATTGAAGCATTGTTTAGATTTTCTCTCTTTTGGCTCTAGTAAAATCTGTAAGGAAAAAATAAATAATGTTATAAGTAATAATTAGGGGAGAAGATGGACTCCATTAGAGATCATTACTCGGAGAAAGTATTTTGTTGTAATTATAAATCAAAGTATCCTTGTGGAAATTTCTATGTATTTTTAGAAATTCAAAAAATGTCATGTTGCTTACCATGTACATTCATGCTTGGCTAAATTTAAAATCCAATTAAAATTGAAAATATAGCCGTTATTGGATTACACTCGTCTAATAAAAGTAAATAATAAAAACTAATTTTTTAATCTCTACCGAACACGCTCGATCTCCCATTTACAGTTGCCAATTTGACTTGTCAACTTGGGCGGCCCGTGATACAGCTCAAGCAGGCGTGAGCTTGAAAAAATCGAGTTGAGCCTCATTTTTGGAGCATCGACTCAAGCCCAAATTGGATCGTGTGGCTCGTCGAGCTAGCCCGTGATGAGCTGACCCGTGTTATTTGAAAAAAAATGGCAATTACAATTGCCAGCTAGCTGCCTATTAAAAAAAAGTGAGGCAACTACAACTACATTTAATACAAAATCGAGGGTTAAAATTTGAATTTGATATTCAAATTTTGTGGAGATGGACATATTTTTTTGCTATAAATAAATACAAGGTAAAATTAAACATATTTTAAATTGTTTTAAAAAAAATTTAGATTGTCACGAATAAAAAATAAAAAGAGCAAGCCCGACTCGGATAGGCCTGAGCCGAAAGCCCGAACCAAGCTTCAATTTTCCGACCGAGCGAAAAAAAGTTCAAGTCATTTTTAGCCGAGCCTTGAGTTTTGGCTCACAAGTCGGTTCGATTCGACTCATTGAATCCATATCCCCATTTGACAGTTTTTGAAGATTATATATTTGTGAATCCCATAAAATATATGTTAAAATAAAAAGTAAATAAAAATAATGAGTTCAATAAAATGCATTGGTAAAAAAAAAAAAAAATTGGCTAGTTTATGATCTCAAAAAAGCGTTGTCAGGGCTAAATATCAACTTGATTAAGTTTAAGGTGATTTTGCTTTTTTTTTTTTCTATTTTTTTTAAATGCAATTGTAAAATCGACCCAGAATTGGAACTGTTCGAGTTTGGCTCCACTAATTACATTAATCAAATGACTCTATTTACAATATACTTTAAATTTAATAAATGATTTCAATTTTTAAAAAACTCGGACCGAACTTAGACTATTGAATTTTACTTGAAATATCGGATGACGACAATAACTTAGATAATTATTTTGAAACAGAATAAAAAATTTAGTGACCAATGTGGAACTTGACAATACGGGTCACGTTTTATTGCCAATATTTTTCATGAAAAATGAGTTTTTTTCATCTAATTTTCTACGTGCTGTTTGATTGACAATTTTCACGAAAAACATTTTCATATTTTTAGTCACGTTACCATATTTTTCTTGAAAAAAAAGAAACAAGAAAAATATTTTTTTAAAGGTGAAGTGATTTTTATTTTCCAGGTAATTCATTCTCTATTTCTCTCTTTCATCGATCATCTCTCTCATTTACTCACTAATAAAAAATGGATGAGTATAATATTTTTCAGGTTGAAAACTAAATCAATCAAATACATTTAATTAATAATTTCCATACAAATAGGTTCTGGACAATTGAATTACCTAAAATTTCTTTTCTTTCCATACAAATGTCATACTTGCAATCAAACGCACCATAAGTGTTACGATGTTCTTAAACCAATCAAATATCCGGTGCAATTTTTTGAAGGCCCAAGAGGGGGTGAGAGTAGAAACAAGTTTTTATTTTTTTCTAACATTTATCTATTTTTTAAATATAAAATTTGTTCTCTCTTTAGACTAATGAAAAGATAGAGAAATATCCTCCTAATATTCTAATGTCGGCACCGAATATGAATCAAATTGTCTCATAGGCAAATCTCAATCGCATCAATGTCAAAGTTTGGGCCATGGTACCTTACGAAGAAGACTTTTGAACGAAACACTCCATCCTGTATTGAATTTTTGTTCCTCGAATTTTAATTGATTTTTGTTTTCAACAATCGCTTTTTTGAATGCGAGGTACTCATCTAGGCCCGATTATCTTTGTGATACATGCATGTATTGATCATACCTTTTCTATCCTTTGCTTTTTCCTTGATTTTTATACATCTGGTAGTCAAACAAGTGAGAAAAACCCTTTCAATCTTATTACCAATCCATCCACTGAAAGATGAGATAGAGGAAAGCCTTGAAAGCAAGAAATGCAAGCTACTTTGACAACGTTGCGATCGTTAAAATTGAATTTCTCGAGTTCAGCCTAAGACAATTGTCGGTAGAAGAATTTGGCCAAGGATCGAACTTACATGAGGATCAATTTGACTAAAACAAATATTTTTTTACAAAAATAATATATGTATAATTTCATGAATTTTTGGGTTCATTTAACAATTTGTTGTAATTTCAAGATTTGTTGAGAGGTTTAATCTATCTTTGAAATTACCTGAAAAGAATCAAGAACCAACTTATTTTTGGCTTTTGAATAAATTCTTGATAATCATCTAGGTTGATCTCAATAATTTCACAAAAAAGTATATGGAATCAAACATCATGTTTTTGTCATTTGTGCTAACATGTCCTCAACTCGAAATACTCGAATGGTAACACTTCCTTTCCAAATGGCATGCCTATTGACGTGTGTATGAATTGAGACATGAAGATCTATGAAAAGTTTATGATCAGTTTTAAGGAAAATTAAACAGCTCGACTCATCAGAAGCAACGACAAGATAAAATGTCCAAGCATGTATAGGGTCTCGACATATCTGCGAGTTCTTGAGGAGATGGCATTGGTTCCATCTGCAGAATGCTGTTTCGGGCACAACAGAAGACGTACAAATTTCTGCAGAGTCCTTTGCTGAATGGATAAACTCTCTGAGGAACTCCCCTGCAAATTGATACAAATTTCAACTCAAATTAGGCAAGGAACCAACAAAATTATGGTAGCAAAAATCTGAAATCCTCTTGAGATTATATTTGAAGCTTTCAAGCCATTTTGACCAATTTGTTTAAGTTCACCATGTTAAGGCTCTACTGCGGAGTTCAAATCTGAAATCATCTTTCGTTTTGCTTACAATAAAACTTTAATATAAGAGTTCCAATCAGTATTGTGATTATTTCTGCCTGTATGGTTTCTGTCGAATGAATTCTTAGGCAATTTGCATTGTAAAGAAAGCCGAAATGTTAAAGCAATGAAAGGAGATAGGGAAGCATAAAATAAAGTAACTAACCTTAAATATGGAACGCGTCGCCTTCTTACGAGTTCATAGGTGGTTTGATTAGTCACAATTAGGTAGCTGTTTCACAAGAAATTTCACATTTAAGGGGCGAACATTTATGTAAAAAATACAGGTACGCCATTCCACCTCATTGAACAAAATACAGTAGTAAATGGACACCCCCATGATATTCAGTCCCTATTTGGCCCTCATTTCTTAAAACTCATTTTAAACACATATTTCATGAGATCCACAACTTTTATTAACTTTTTAGCCACACATTTTGCCTACTTTGTATCAAAATCTACTAAAAATTTAAGCCCCTGTTTGGGCTTCATTCTAAAAAGAATGCATTTTTATATCTTTTCAATCACACATTCTCCAATAAGATAATATTACACATAAACTCAAAACTTTTTCTTATTTTTAACCAAACATTCTCCAAAACATTACTATTCCAGAACACATTTTGAATGGAGCCCAAACAGGGGCTTATTTTTATTCAAACCAACAGGGGCTTAGTGAGTATATTCATGGTATAAATTGACCAGAAATGTGGTACTGAATAAAAAGTTTATGCAATGCAGTTGAAATAATAAAAATACTAGCCTATGAAAAAGGATGAGCAGTGGTAAATAGGTATTTTTTAAATACTCCCTCCGTCCCAATTATATAAGCGGAGTTTCTTTTTTCTCTTGTCCCAAATATATAGGTATGCCTAATGTAGAATATTTTGTTGTGTTCATTTACCAATATATCCTTATTAAATTTTCCACACTTAATATGCTAACTTCTTGAAATCATCCAAATACACACATTTCCCACTTCTTGGAAACATGGAACAACTCTCATTTGTTCTTTTTCTTCAATTTTTTTATTAATTCCAACAATAATTTAATTTTACATACAGAAAATTAAATATGGGTAAACTAGGAAAGATCTTGACAAAAATTAATTTACCAATCACATTAAAGAAACTTTCTTAATCCACGTAAAAAACGAATCAAGCCTATATAATTGGAATGGAGGGAGTAACATGTTTCAGTGAAGATAATTTCATTGTGTAAACTTACCAGAAATGAAATATTGTTAAATAAGAAGTTGATGCAGGTAAGTGCTTCAAATTACTTACCTATGAAAAAGGAGCAGCAGTAGTAGAAAGATCAAACAAATTGACAAGGTACCCAAAAGCAAGATTACGATTATATCAACCCACCTAAAAAAATAAATAAATAAAAATCCCGCTCAGGTTTCAATACGATATATGTAGAACTAACTCATCAGAATCCAAGCATCATAAGAAAATAATAAGTAGAAACCTCTTTAAGATATGAGTTGATGCATACCATGTTTTTGATATATTATACTTAAGGTAGACAATGTACAAGATGCTAGTCCAAAGGCACAAGGCTGTTTCTTCAAGAATGTACCACCTGGTATATCCAAAAAAAAAAAAAAAAGGTAAATAAACAAGAGCAATGTTAAGAATATGCATTCCAATTACATCAAACTATACTAATATGAGAAATGTATAAATAAAACTAAATTTATTGTATGAACTAAAAAGTTCCGAGTGATGCAATCTATAGAGATTTGACACCTTCTAAACAAGTGTCTTTATAGAAGAAGAATATGAATGATTTGTTAGATTCAACAAAATATAAGATTGCCCAGAAATGATAGACCACAGTGAAATAACATATAAAGAGATAGTACTTCCACGTTACCCTTTTTTTTAGTCGGTGAAAAGTTTTAGTTGTGATATAAAAATACAATACATCAAGAGATCAAAGAGTCATCTTAAAATATAACTAAACAGAATCAGGAATACAGCAAATTCTTCCAACCAAACTCCAATAAAGATGAAGGGAAAAATTCAGGGGTTTGCCACTCTTTGGCATTAGTAGCAAGCAACTCATGGAGTTTCCAGGAATTGGGTGGACATGTCGCAACGACAGTTAAACCAAGGCCATTCAATTCAAAATATATGCGTCCTTTCTTCAACAACTTAAGTTTATAGAAGAGTGGATTGAACATAACATCAAAGCATGCAAAGGTCCGAGGAACATGTGATAGCATAAAACATACTCTACATAAAAATCATTAATAAGATAAGAAACAGAATGTGTTCTCACCAAAACCGGCAATGGTTTCTCTGTCCTATGCATGTCCCTAGCCAAACGCAATGATGATCAAATTGAAGAACGCATTTGTCACAATCATGACAATGCTTTGCTCGTGGGGGCTACAAAAGTGATGCATGCAAGCTGGGATCAGAAACTATAACTTTGGAACGTAATTGAGTAAATTTAAAGAATGCTAAATAGAACAACAAGTCTATAAAAGAACCAATTTGTCAAACAAAAAATAAGAGCAGAAAGGAAGAAAAAGAAGTTTAACATTTCTCGTCTACAGCTCGAACAATTGATGGTTGGTTGTGTCCATCATCGTCAATGCAGGTTACCAGGAACCATCTTTTTTTAGTGTACATTTTTTAATCAACACTAAAAATCTCAGCCTAATTTGCTTTGCTTCCTAAGGGTGTAGTGATTTGAGAGCAAGCAGTTGCACGCTTAGTTCCCAGTTTCTCTCTCTCCTTTTTTTCTTTTCAAAAGTCACTACAAGCACAGGCTCAATGCCTAAGCCATGATCAATTTGGACTGCCAAATTACATTTTTCTTCTTTTTCTGCTCAATAGATACATTACCAAACTCAAGCACTATCATGCAAAGTATACTAAGTTGAGGGATCAATAAGTCAAGTCTTACATCTCAAGGTGAGGTTGCCATCTAGCACAATAATATATCCAAGCCAAAAGGCCTCATTTTAACCCTCATATTGTTTATTTGATTTCTCAACAAGGTGAAATATGACCGACCCGAAAAAATATCCGATCCACCCTGGCAACATCTCCCCCACCAAGTATGATCACTCTCCATGCCCTGCCAGCATCCCCTCTCCTAGCCTCATGTGTACCCTGTGTATTTCCAATGCCATCTAACCTGCCTTCCCTCACTACAAAAGCCAGTAATTGCTACCACCACCTTGCCATATATATAAACACAAGAACCAGAGATTTAAAGCATTACATATTACAAACACTTAAAATACACAAAACCATAATAACACATAATTCCAGCCATAATAACGCATAGTGCATGTACAAATTATATATACAATCTGGCAACCATATAGTCATAGAAAAATGCAGAACCAGATGGAGTATATAATGTGGTTTCTAACGATTTACCATGAATTTTACATATTTTTATGAGTGGGATAGCAGGGAGCAGATGGAGCTAATTTATTCCCTGGAAGGGGGAGCAACATTGATGGTTATGGAAATATGTTGCAATAATTGTGGTTGGGAAAGGTGGCATAATGGCAACAGGCACAAGGGGAATGACATGACGGGATTTGGATATTCTTTCCCTTTCCTGTGGTTTTGCTATTTATTTTTATCTATTCTCGCTCTAATAAGTACAATACATACGTTTTGAGTACAATATTTAGCAATTCGTGTGCCATCTGCTTGGAAAACAGCTAGACTACTTTCCAATTAAAATCAAGATTCTAGCTAATGTGAAATCTTGTGAATAGATAGGTTGATGTTCATTTTTCAATTTTAGTTTACAACTAGTAGGATTTCACTGCATAGCTGTTGAATATTTTCTAACGTGTTTCGAAAAGTAGCTATAAATATGTATTTCGACCATATGAGGAAATCAATGGGAAGTAATTCAATTCTCATCGCGATATCAGAGCATGGTCAAGGTTCTTGGGTCAGTTGGGTGTGCTTCTCTCTCATTCATTATTCTTTCTTCTGCAGGTCAGGCGATATGATCAACTGTGAGCGGAGTGAGAAAACAGTCAAAAGGGTCTATTTATGTCTTTAGATCAATGCTCATAAACTGAATGGCCAAAAATTTCTACAATGGCAACCAAAAAGAAATAGTAAATTAAGAATATAAAGACACTAAACAAAACAAAATTTCAAAATGTCCAAGAAGGATTTAATTAAAAAAAAAAAAAAAAGAAGAACGAACTGTTGCTCATGAAACAAAACATAATTTCAAAGTACTAGTCCAAGAAGGATTTGGACCAAAAAAAAACTGTTGCTCGTGAATCAATATGGGCTCAAAAAATATATGATAACAATTATTAGATAATTTCATGTAGCTTCACCAAATGTAAAATAAAGATGACAAAAGCATAAGGAGGTCGTACCTGCACAACGTTGCAGTAAGTGCATGTCCAATTTCTGGAAAACAAAACACGAATGAAGAAAATTAGAGAATGACAAATTTGTGGCTTTTGATAAACAAATGGAGCATTTGTTTGCCTACATTGACGATTCAGTTTAGATTCAGAAAAGAGGTTCTATGACAAAATTATTTTCCATCCCAAGAATACTTCTAGATCTTGATCCATTCCACTTAATTTTACGTGATACGTGTTTTAGTAAAGTGTTATATCTGTAGATCAAGAGAGGCATTTAGCTGATCTTTCAAGTGTTTATCCATGGAGTATTAATTTATTAGCATGAACTAGCATATCCAACAATATTAGAAAATTCAGGAAGAACTTCTGTTTCTTGTAAAAAATCAGTCTTATCTTTAAAATAGAATAAAATTAACAGTTCTTTTCCACAATTCGTTGCAATTTTTACAATTGCCTTTGATCATCAAATCGAATAAATTTCACTTCAAGCTTCTCATAGTTAATGCTTCATAATATATAGTTTGATCACAGCCCAATGAATTCAACTTCACAAAAATGAACCATTATAATAAATAATGGTTTAAACCCTCATTGTAATATCTAGTACTACACCTTCTGCCAAAATTGATAAAATATGCTACAAGGAGCCTGAAGGGTGTCTAGTTTAAATAAAAAGCAATGTTCATAAATCTTTTGAGGCTTAGCTTCGACTCCCGCCTCACATGAAGCTTTAATTAACTGCCTCAAAGCTTACGCTTTATATGCCATTTGTGAGGCTACGCCTCAAGCCTAAGCCTCGTGGCATTTTACGCGTTCACCCATTTGTCTAGCCTATTTTGCACATTTTATTATTGGCTTTTATGTGTTGAAGATCACGGAATATTAGTGCAGACTTGATGATTTATTTATTACCATATGTAATGGTTTAGTTATAGTAAATATATATATTGTTTCCTTGTTTGTAGATTTAGCATATATTCTGTTTTGGTAGGTATTCTAGTCCTACAAAAAGGTTGTATTCGGCTGAAGCTAAAATAAGAAAATCAATTCACTCTTTATTGTGGTCTCTTCATTCCTCTATCTCGCCAGATTCATTATGATTTTGGGCTATTTATGTATAACCTATAATGTTTTACAGGTTTTATTAATGTCTATTCTCCTCATTTCACAGAAGGTTAAGTGAAGGAAAAAACATTGCTTCGTTTTAAGTGGAGGATGATGTCAAAAAATGATAAGAAACTAATAATGATGAGGAGAATAATAAGGAAATCAAATATGTTGACAGTTGCCCCAGGGACGTAAAACATCTAGTTCGCAATATAGCCTTTTTAGACATTGGTAAGAGTAACAACATAAGAACATAAAATGAAACAAGAACCACGGAGCTACTGAAAAGCAAAAACCATCTTGTGGTCCCACATTGTAAATTTGAAATTCTACCCACATAGAATACATCAAAAAGAAAAAATCCTCTTATGTCTCGGATAAGAACCTTCTATTATTTGTTAATAATATGTACTACAAAATTTTCAAGATAAGAAAAATGTATCTTCCTTGGCCCAGCAAAGATGTCACTCCAATTCACCTAGCACATCAGACCAAGAAATTTCCGCACTGCAGCAATATTAAAGCCCGTTTGTTAAAACAAGTTACCTAATAGATGATCCTGGAGGGTACATATCCATCACTAGCTTTGTCCAAGCTGTAACATTACTTCTCTGATAATTCCGGCCTGATTGGTTCTGGTCCACTGTGATAACAACACTGCCATTTTTGCTTGAAGCTGGTTGTCTTTGCTTGAACATTTTAACATAAAGATACACCAAAAAACATAGCAGTTAGACAATGCCATTTTTTAAGAAATAGAGTAGATACAATCTTCGCATTAAAGACTCGGAAAGGAACCCTCATACTTTGTATCCACTGATGTCCTTCTAACTAAAGCATCTCTCTCATCGACAGCCTTCTGCGCATCAAGTACATAGCTACGTATTTGAAAAGAAAAGGAAGCTTCAGCAATACGGGCACATAAAAATATCTTCTCATCAGCACAAGATCAAAAGTAAATCTTTTAGCAGTAAGAGTAGCTCATAATGTTAATTACCCAGGAGACGTTCCAGAGGTGATAAAATACTGAGCCAGTGTAGCAACGAATAGTAACAAATATATTGCGGTGTACCTGTGTTGGGAAAACAGAAATCACAATATCACGGTAAGCACTGAAATGGAAATGAAATAATTGTAAAACCACCCATCATGTGAATATTTTTAGTTCCTCAGCCTTGTCACTTCTATCTCAATTTATAGGAGGTCTTCTGTCAGATGATTGTATAACATAAAGAAACCAAAATTTTAAGTCAGACTTAGCATGCCATAATGTGGAATCAAGTTCTCGTGCTCAAATAGGTAGGTAGATAACAACTGCATAGTAGAGGTCTCTTGGATGAGTCTTACGCGTTTTCAAACCGTTGTTTATGCAGATAAATTGACCTCAATGGTAAGCTTCCATTTTCATTTCTATTACAATGGATAAATTAACTACAGTGTATTAACATATTCTTCGAGGTATCTAATGTCTACATAGGAAAGACTTGAGTAAACCTTTTGCGTGAAAGCAAGAAAAAATAAATTCTCGAAATCCTTGTTTGCTTTTGGGCCATGTCTTTTTTTTTAAAAAAAAAGCATTACATAAATATTTTCAAAGTTATCATTATGAAGTTGCATACAGAATTCAACAACACAGAGACATATAAAAAGTTCTCTTTAAAACCCAAATCTTGATGGAAGAAGACAACCACAAATATTCAACACAATAACAATGCAATAAATAATTCCCCCTTCTCATGTAAACAGTAAACCTAATAAGTGACTATGAATAGAGTATATGCACACTAATAGGAATTCAGTTAACTCAAGATTTGTTTAACATGGAAAAACCCTTTCTTAACCAAAGGGGAAAAAACCACGGGACTGTAGCATACCCAAAATCTCTTGTTTATCAACAATGGAAAGCAAGGTTCTCTCTAGTCAATACTAGAGGCTCCAAAAATACATTATCTTGGCTCATCAGCAATATCTTGTTTTTATATTTCCATCTTTGTTAGATGACGAGATATTGTTGGCATGAGATTGTCTTCTTCTTCTTCTTGTTTTTTAGCCTTCCCATGGTTAACATAATGGAGAATATGGGTGATGGTTCCGGAGATTTTTTTCCCCATTGGATGAAAAAGACAACACTTATGTTTATTAGGTTTGATATATTATTGTGCAATCGCTCTATTTGATGCACAAGAAGAGAGAATTATTCATTCCATTGCATTGTCTCAAATATGTAGTCGGAATATTTGTGGTTGCTGTGTTCTCCCATCAAATTCATATCATATATAGAAAAGCCGTCACTTTCTACTATAATGTTACTCAGAATTAAAATCATCAAATCAATGCAATCCATAAAAAGAATAAATCCATTCAAAACCTACATCAACACTCTCAGCAATTTAGAGAGAAAAATTAAAAATAATACCATGGGTCTTCTCTGGTTCTGACAATCAAATCTCTATCTAACGCAAATAAAACCCCGAGAAAAATCAGATGGAGCGTCACCAAAGCCACCTTCAAACATAAAGTAGATCTCCGAGCTATAATAAATTGAACAGAAGAAATATTCAATAAAAAGAAAAGAAACTTCAACGTTTCTTATCATTCTTATAAGAACTCATCAGCACAAACAAATAAACAGTACCCGGATCAGATAGACAGGGAAAAAAGCGGAAGCAACGATCAGTGGCACGATCCCATGTGTCGCGGAGGAAGCCACCGCAGAATACACCCATTACTTTTTCACAAACTCATCACTCAACACAATTGTAATCTCTACCTAATTATGATGTCTATATTTCACTTCTTTCCGCAATACAGCAGGATTCAAGGAGAGTCGAAATCCTGTAAAACTCGAGAGAGAGAGAGAGAGAGAGAGAGAGAGTGAGTGAGTGAGAGAGATTGAAAATTTGTCTGGAGCCGCGATGGGAGCGGACGGGTCCTACAAGACCGGCTCGGTGTGAATCCAACTGGTCGACTGTGGACTAATTTGAGCGCGTGTATTGAAGTGCGGCCTAGGGTTTGATAAGGACTAAGGAGATTAGTTTAGCTTTTTGATGGCTAATCAGTTGATTAAATAAATTAATAATTTTTTAATCAACAGTCTGATTTGATTTTTATGAATAAATGACAGTAATGCTCTGATTTACAATTATTATTAGGATTAATAACACAAAAACCCCTCTAAAAATGTTTCTAATTGCAATATATGACATACATAGAGGGTGTTTGGTAGAGATTAAAATCGGATTAAAATTGAAAAACTAGTTGTTATTGTTGACTTTTATTAGATGAGTGGATCCAATAACGGCTATATTTTCAATTTTAATTGGATTTTGAACCGTACCAAACATGCCCATATTGAAAATCGCAGAAAACCTTCATATTTGAAACATTTTGTGCGAAATACCCCATACCGTTCAATTCTATTAATTTTACCGTTAAAAACAGTCAAAATTGCAAAAATTAAAATGAATAATTATAGTTGTAATCTTAAACCTTTTTTTTTTTTTTTTTTTTACAAATTACACAAAAATATTTTATTTATATCACACATATTCCCAAACATTTGAAACCCCGCCCCGCCCCGCACTGCACTGCACTAAAAACCTACAAAATTCTTCTCCCATTTCTACTTCTCTCTAAATGGATCGATTGGACAATTGGATCATGACCCAGTGTTGTATGTGACTAAATTTAATTGCTCATGGTTGAATTGGTGGGTTGGAGCACAGTAGATTGGCCAATTGAAATGAGGGAGTTGTCGTTCATTCGCGCAAGAAGGGGGGACAAACTTTGAATTTGAAATTGGGACAATTTCTGGAGCAATCGATGAAATTGGAATGTTACCCATGGTTGAAGGGACCTGATTAAGACTCGACTGATGCCAATTTGTCGATTCAATGTCGTGTGAAACACGAATTAAAGCAGGCAAATTCGAGTTCGCGATTGCTAGATCTGTTTAATCATCAATAGAATGAAATGTTGCATTTTTAGTTGATGTTAGGTCATAATCATGATCGTCTGAATGAGGGCTATTAATAGGTGATGGTGCGCAACCATGGGCATCGTCGGAGATAGGTTTTCTGGCACAAGAGGGGTGAGCGACATTAGGTTTTTGGGCTTCGATTTCTGGTGATTCTTGTTGTTTCATGGCTGATGATTGGTTGGATGCTGTAGAGGAGAGTGACACGAGGTTGCTGGTGGTGGGATCCAGTGGTCTTGATGGCCAGAAAGTGGTGAGACGAAGCTGTAGAGAAGAGTGAAATGAGTCTGTTGGTGGTGGGATCCAGTGGCCTAAAGTTTCATTTCTTCTTCTCATTCCAAATAAAGTTTCAAATGTTTGAGATTGTGGGAAGTGCATTAAAAAAATGGATAAAATTTGTAAAAGAATAAAAAGTTTAGATACTAAAAATGCAATTATTACTTTTTAATTTTGACATTTTTACTATTTTTAATGATAAAATTGACGGTATCGGGATATTTCGCACAAAATGTTTCAAATAGGGGGATTTTCTGTCATTTCCAATAGCTAGGGGGGTATATCGCAATTGGAAACGTTTTTAGGGAGCTTTTCTATTATTAATCCATTATTATTAATTATATGAATAACTTGGGGATCGTATTGTTATCTAATTAAGGCCGACTTCACAATTCTTACCGAACAAATTGAATGTTGTAGATCACTTATCGAGTTTGAGAGGTTGCAATATAATCATCGAATCAAACTATATGTATAGTAGTTACCAAATATTTTGGGGAAAAAAATTCAATAAACAATCGGTCATATGTCAACACTTCATTAATTGAATGAGATGAAAGGTGCATCTAGGCAAAATTAGATCCACATAATAAGGAAGTCCTCCCAAAGTGCAGCAAGTTGTCTAATTCTTCTGTCATTAGCGGGAAAAGTCCCCTCGCAAACTTCATATTCAGAATTCCACATGATGCACAAATGACAAAAATGGGGACTCCATCATGACAACGGAGATGTGATAAACTCTCAAATTGATATCGAGATCGACAAAATTCTAATTTGAAAACTAAACCTAGTCGCAAGTTGACTCCAACTTTTGTGAGGAATAACTCGACTAAGTGCCACACCCTAAATAAGATAACACTTCTCAAAAACCATCTGCTCTAAGTTTCTAACATTGGACTTTCCGACCCCAACATAACAATTTCAAGTATTCATTGAAATGAAATGTTACAACCAGAAGATTTGGCTGGTCGTCATTTTAAGGTCATCTTCAACCCGTGACACCAAATTGGTACAACTTCCACAACATCGTACAAAGTCATCTTCAAATATTACACCAAACGAAGAGTATTTCCTTTATTGCTTTATTTTTTAATTACCGACTATTAATTTATTTCAAAAAAAGTTTTAATTACAAATGATATCATTACTAAAATTACTAAATTAAAAGTTACATTTAATTAACTAAAATGTTATATTTGTTCATAATTTTTTTTTTAAAAAATACAGTACGCTTAATGGTTAATACCACAATTTAAAAAATATTACATTATCAAATTTATAACTTCTGAATTATAATGAATAATTTTATTTTAGTGTATCGAGTAGTTAGCCGTGTGAGATGAAAGTCTCATGCACGGTCTTGGACGAGAGAAAGAAGTGATGAATCCTTTTTTCGACTCACCCTCCCACTCTAATTGTTGTTGTATAAAATGAAGGGCAAAGAGAAAATATGGAGAATCGTAAAAAAATCACGTAATTAGTTGCACCAATTTGATGTCATGATTTG